AGCTCCGGCCTCCTCCTCCTGCCGGGTCACGCTGCCCGGCGCAGGGGCGCGCACGGAGGCTTGGGCTGCAGCGGAGAAATAAAGCTCCAACAATTAGAGAAATATTTTTAACCGACCCGCTCGATCCTTCTGCCCCCAAGACACCCGCCTCGTCGGGCGGCAGGGCCGGGTCCTCGCAGCCTCCGGCCTGGCTGCGAGGGGGCTGCGCGGAGCGACGGGGCAAGGCGACCTCTTTATCATTATTATTTTCCTTCCCTTTTAAAAATTATTTTTCTAGACTTAAAAAAGAGCCATAATAATACCAACCCCAGGAAAAAAAAAAGGGAAAATCTCTGTCAGCTTTTGTTTCTTCCTTTTTTTTTTTTTGGAAAAAAAATGTATCCGAGTATCGCAGTTGTCAAATAGCAGTGGGTTTCTGTTTTCCCTGGGCTGTTTTGGAAGCCCTGGGCATGCAGGGCGCGGGGCGGGGGTGCTAGGAGAAGCGCTGCCTCTCTTGGCTTCCCTCTTCTGAACCGTTTCCACATGATTTCAGCTCCGGGAGGAACAGACACCACACAGGAGACACCGGGGCCGCCAGGGACCCCTCGGCTCAGGAGAGAAAGCGACAATTACAAATGAGCTGGATTGAAAGACAGAAAGGGGAAAAAACGCATTTATTTCATTTTGTCATTATGGTGATGATTTAACGGGATGAGTAAGCTGTCCTTGGAGCCCCAGCAGGTGCCGGGTCGCAGTGCGGATTGGGGCTCATCCCCGACGGGGCGGGAGGCCCTGGGACGGCGGCAGAAGGAGCCGAGGCCGCGCGGGGCCCTGCGGGGGGCTCCGCGGGCGCGCAGCTTGCGCGCTGCCCCGCGGGTCTCAGAGACGAGCTGCAGCAAGCGCGACTCGGGGTCGAGCGCGGAGACAGTCCGGCGTGGCCTTTATTTTTTGTGTGTCTTTTTTGTTTGTTTGTTTTCTTTAAAAAAAAAAAGTCCGAGTCTCTTTAATTAAATTAGTTACCGTACAAACACCATAGGGTTTCGTACACGGAATAAATAGCGCGAGTCCCACCGGGTG